CATTTCCAGATGGCTATTAATCGTTCGAATTTTTTTTTTTGAAGGCGTTTGTTTCCGGCTAATTGCACTCAATTTTCTCATCAACAGATTTCGAAAATATTGTAAACTATCGTATGAATGAATGAGGAGAAAATGTTCTTTTTAAAGACGTGATAGCCTCAGAAATACCACAAAACGCGATGTGAATGATCACAAATAGAAATGTTTCCTATGCAGCAGCAGTATATCGCTCAATGCACTTGTTTTACCGTGATGTGAACAAATTTTGTTTGAGTGACTCTGCGATTAGTGCAGTTGAGTTACAACAGCCAAGCATCATTGCACTAATGGTCTTAAACTATGTGAATCATCAGAATTGGTGATATTTGTTAAGTCTATACGTAACGCATATTTCGCATCTATGCTATGGATATGATGCTATAAGCACTTTTTTTTTGCAATTTCCACACTGAATTTCAACGTTGAAGATGTGATGGAAGAGACACAGTGTGAGAGCCATTCATCGGAAATCTCAGCAGCTAAGACGAAACAAACAGATGAAAAGAAAGAGAGATTTGCTAAATGCTCACGACTCAAAGCCAACTGTCTGGTTATAATTTGCTTAAGCTGAGCGAAATCAGCGAACGTTGCTGTTAACAGGTATTGTTGTTGTTTTGTTGTTGTTATTATTATTATTTTATGCTTCAACACATTCTCAACGACGATTTCATTGAAATAAATCAATGCTTTCTACTCTCTTCAAACACCCACATAGTAATGTTTCGTAATCAGACCATCATATACCTAACGAAACGAAATGGTAAATAATCATTAATCTTCTTTTAATGTGCGTTTTGCGAGTGTTGTGTTAATTTGAAGCGCTAAATAACGGAAATGTTTCAGACAAATGCAGCAATATTTCCAAAGTTGAAACCAACACATGAAAATACAATGTGAAAATCTCATGATCCTGAACAGGAGTTTCTGGTTTCGTATGGCTCAAACAGAAGTCACAACGAGAACAAATAGTATGGAGCATAACAGAATTGGGTTTGACCGACATGCTCGATTATGGCATTGCAAGATTGGATCGAATCTTTGATTGTTATAATACTTTATTTACGCNTTCGTCAAACCATTTTCAACTATTCGGAATCGATAAACACTGCGGGCGATTTCAAACTGGTGTTAGCAGCTTTGATGGTTGCAAAGAAGATTAAGGCAGCGAAAAGTACACTGGGATCATCAATAAATTGTATCAGAAGATTGCTCAAAATAAACATTCACCAAATCCTCGGCATATTAAAAGTTGTTTGAAGGCTATTGTGAATAGTGAGTTATTGCTGTGAAGCGAACTGATTATAACAGTTGTGTTTTCTACGTTTCGATAAGATTAATTTAGTGAATATTGAGTTCCGCTGCCAGTTGTTGACATATTGTTGGTGGTATGGTGGAAACGAATTGAAAAGTGCCACTGAATTTAGAATACTTGAAATTGTGAGCTAGCACTTAAAGATATGCGTCCACAATTTGCGGATGGGATAACGATGAGAAAGTATTACTGCGGGGATAGACGCGAAGAGAATAAGAGCCGAAATCCGGTGAACATCTCTTCTTGAAACTGTCAGTTTTTCAAACGAAAAAAAAATCAGTGTTTACAAATGTTGAGAGTTTCGGTGCACTAAATAAACAACGTTTGTGACGTTATTCAACATACACCATAGCACTTGAAGTTCAGAGTATGAATTAATTTTACTATGGAACGCAAACTTATGCAGCGAATATGGTTCTTGTTGAACATGGTAGCGGCTGAACAGTTGAATTGCCAAACAATCGAGATTTCAACTCATCAAAGCCTTACAATTGGTTCGCATGATTCCATATGAATGCGGTATATCAAAACAGGATTCTTATTCGACAAGCATGCACATTTCTCAATTCGAGGAAAATGTGAAGAAGAAACACGAAGCTCAATGAATGATAAGTAGAATCTGAGAATGCGACTGGTTCTCGAAACGATGATGGGAGCAGTGAAATTGTAAAATGAATAAAGGAATGGTGTTATAAAAAGATGGACTGGTCCAGTGAACCCTAAAGAGTTCGGAAAGAAAATGAAGAAGTTGTCGATCACCTTGAGTAGAGAGGCATTGGTGTATTGTACTGTATATTAGATGGTAAAGTGGTAGGCATTTTGACTGCTTAAGGCTGATCCGATTCGATTTGAAGAGGTATGATTGGTGGAAGTTTGGGAATGGAGAATGACACAGAATGAGGAACCGTCCGCGATAAGAGTGATGACGATTGGGCACTGAGAGGCGATGGATGTGTATATGAGACGGGTCGTTTACTGGGTTGATCTAAGAATGAGGCAACAAGTAAGTGCCTTAGGCTCAGCCACACCCTCGAACTCGACCAGGCAAGCTGCTCTGTCGAGTG